ATAAGTCTTTTGTATGGGTTCATCAGGGAGGGCTTTGAAGTTGGTGTAATCGTTGAGACATTGTGCTCTATGATTTTTCTTCGTCTTTTCTCCTCCTTCCAGTTGACTTGCCAATTCGTCCCAAAGTTCTTTTATAGTGGAGCATGTATCGAGGGATTGAAAGATTTCATTAGGTAGGGCCATGATTATCAATCTTTTAGCCTTTCTGTCAGTTTCGACTCTTTCTCTATCATCTTCGTCCCAATTTCTTTCATCTTTAGGCATGTAATATGCTGGAATTTCAGCTGTGGTATTTGTTCATGGAACTCTTGGAACTAGAGTTTGAGGAATGTAGGAACCCTCCTGTATGGATCGCAGGAGATTCCTATCCATTCCCTCCAGAAAATTTACCATTCTKATCTTCCATTGAGGATACTCCTCTCGTTGAAGAGTTGGAGGCTTTGTGAGGGAACCAACATTGTAASCGGAATTCCAGTTGGCCATTGAAAATTTTTAAGATGAAGAGAGAATTTTTGATGAGAAAGAAGAATAAAATATTGAGAGATTTTAAATGTTCGTTTTGATTGGATAATCAATCAATAGGCTCTGATACCAATTGTTGATCCTAGATCTCTCAATAACACTAATAATCTAGTTATGAATAACCAAATTATAGTGATTTAATGAAGAAAGTTATGAAGTCTCAAGAATAAAATAAGAAAGATTAAGAACAATTTTGAGCTTCAAAGGTTTTACTTTATTAGATCATAAACGTAAAACAAAGAGTAAAAGCCTTATTTTTACAATAGACCTAATCATCTATTTATACTAGTCGGCTGTTTAGAAGATAACTATCTATTGCTATTTTCTAGCAAATTTTCTAATAAACAGATAAGGTTTATCTTTTATATGGATAAGCATTATTATCAAGATAAACTCTAATTCCAGCTGTTGACTTGTCATCTCCAGCTGTCATTAACGATGTGATGAATTTATCCTTATCTTTGAATCTTCATGGCCTGCTTGAATGAACTGATAGAAAATCTTCTAAGTGACGTTTGTCCAGAGTATCAATGAGAATGCTTCTTTCCATCACATCATCCATTGATCCTCTGGTTGAACTCTTCCATCGGTCCAATGGTTGAACTTTGTCCATCGATCCTYWGGTTAGTYTGTCCATCGATCCAATGGTCGAATTCCAGACTTAGTCGTTTTTGCCTTGATGTCTTCTGGTTCATCATCACTTGTTTTTCATTACTTTTTACATTTTGCATTGTGGGGTTTAACAAACACCGTGTTGTCCTCCGGGTTAATAAGGTCAACCGCTCCATAAAAGTAAACTTTGTGAATGACAAACGGTCCAGACCACCTAGACTTGAGCTTTCCCGGGAATAGTTTCAACCTAGAGTTAAACAAGAGGACTTTTTGTCCTTCTTTCAACTCCCGGTGTTGGATTTTTTTATCATGCCATTTCTTCGTCTTTTCTTTATAAAGTTTGGCATTCTCATAAGACATTTGTCTTTGTTCCTCCATTTCACAGAGTTGTAACTTTCTTTTCTTTCCAGCTTCATCCAAAGACATATTGAGCTCTTTGATTGCCCAATATGCTTTGTGCTCAAGTTCTAAAGGCAGGTGGCAGGCTTTTCCATAGACTAGCTTATATGGAGACATACCTATTGGTGTTTTGAAAGCAGTTCTGTATGCCCATAAAGCATCGTCTAATTTGATTGCCTAGTCCTTTCTATTGGGTTTGACCATTTTTTCCCAAATGCTTTTAATTTTTCTATTAGAGAGCTCTGACAAACCATTAGTTTGTGGGTGATAAGTCGTGGCAATTTTGTAGTTAACATTGTATTTTTCAAGGACTCCTTTTAACAAATTGTTCACAAAGTGGGTACCCTCGTGACTAATTAGTGCCCTTGGGGTACCGAATCGTGTGAAAATATGTTTTTGGAGGAACTTAACCACAGTTTTTGCGTCATTTGACACACATGCCATAGCCTCCACCCATTTGGATACGTAGTCAACAGCCACAAGTATGTATTGGCAATTATTTGATGGAAGGAAAGGACCCATAAAGTCTATTCCCCACACATCAAATAATTCTACTTCAAGTATTCCATTTAATGGCATTTCATTCCTTTTGGAAATGGAGCCACTTCTTTGACACTCATTGCACCTCTGTGCAAAATTGTGGGAGTCTTTAAAAATGGTTGGCCAATAAAAACCGGACTGTAAAACCTTGGTTGTAGTCCTTTGGCCTCCAAAATGGCCTCTATATGGTGCATGATGGCAATGCTGCAGGATTGCTGCCACTTCAGATTCAGGTACGCATCTTCTTAAGATCTGGTCTGTACCAAGCCTAAACAAAAACGGGTCATCCCACAATAAGATTTAGCATCATGAAAGAATTTTTCAACATGTGGCCTGTGTAATCAGAGGGTTTTATTCCACAGGCCAAGAAATTAGCTAAATCCGCAAACCATGGTGTTTTTGGCTGGTCTATCATGAGGATTCTTTCATCCGGAAAAGTATCACTAATGTTCATTCCTCCTATCTCTGGCTCTTCCAACCTAGACAAATGGTCCTCTACTTGATTCTCTACTCCTTTTCTATCAAGTATCTCTAAGTCAAATTCTTGCAATAAAAGCACCCATCTTATTAACCTCGGTTTTGCATCTTTCTTTGAGATTAAGTACTTGATGGCTAAGTGATCGGTATGCATATTACCTTTCTTCCCATAAAGTAGGACCTAAATATCTCAAAAGCAAAAACTATGGCCAATAACTCCTTTTTAGTTGTGGTGTAATTGATTTGTGCCTCATTCAAAATTTTACTTGCGTAATAAATTGAATGAAACACCTTTTCTTTTCTTTGTCCTAACACAACACCTACCGCCCAATCACTCGCGTCACACATGATCTCAAAAGGTTTGTTCCAATCCGGGGCAACTACCACTGGTGCGGTAACCAAAGCTTTTTTCAAAGTTTTGAATGCATTTTTGCACTCATCATTAAAATTGAATTTTTGGTCATGTTGTAAGAGTAGACAGAGAGGTTTTGAAATTTTCGAAAAATCTTTGATAAACCTTCTATAAAATCCGGCATGACCCAAAAACTTCTAATTCCCTTAATAGTGGTGGGTTCGGGTAGTTTTTCAATTACTTTAAGCTTTGCTTTATCTACCTCAACCCCTCTTTTAGAAATCAAGTGTCCAAGAACAATTCCTTCTTTGACCATGAAATGACATTTCTCCTAGTTTAGGACCAAATCTGTTTCCTCACACCTTTCCAAGCTCTTCTCCCAAAAGATGAACCATATACAGAAAAATCATCCATAAATATTTCAATGGATTTTTCAAGCATATCCAAAAATATGGACATCATACACCTTTGAAAGGTGGCAGGAGCATTACAAAGTTCGAATGACATTCTTCTGAAAGCAAAGGTGCCATAAGGACAAGTAAAGGTGGTTTTCTCTTGATCTTCGGGAGAAATGGCTATTTGATTGTACCCTGAATAACCATCCAAGAAACAGTAGTACTCTTTTCCAGCTAACCTGTCCAACATTTGGTCAATGAAAGGTAGCGGAAAATGGTCTTTTTGAGTAGCCCTGTTTAGCCTCCTATAGTCCATGCATATTCTCCAACCGGATACAACTCTAGTGGGTATAAGTTCATTTTTATCATTTATGATGACAGTGAACCCTCCCTTTTTTGGAACACACTGGACTGGGCTAACCCAAGAACTACTGGCTATCGAGAAATTAATTTTGGCATCTAACCATTTCAAAATTTCCTTTTTGACTACTTCTTTCATGACAGGATTTAGCCTTCTTTGAGGCTCTATAGAGGGACTAATCCCTTTAAGGTCAGCAATGGTCCATCCTAAGACTTTTTTGTGCAATTTTAGCATGTCCACAAGTTTCTTTTCTTGATGCAATTCTAGGGTTGATGAAATGATGACAGACAATTTGCCTTCTTCTCCTAGAAAAGCATATTTCAAATGAGATGGGAGTTGCTTTAACTCCAAGTCAGGTGGTGAATCTATGGACGGGTTTTTTTGCTAATTATTTTCTAGCAGCTCAAATGTTGCAGCATCCACTAGGACAACATTAGCTCCTAATTCCTCTATTTCCTCAACACTTTCCTCTTCTATTCCCTCATCATGCTCTCCTTCCAACTGAAGGCTTTTCTGAATTCCTTCTTCCAAACACATCTTCTCTATCTCAGATATTTTTGAACACTCTTCCAAGTAATCAGGGTACTTTAGAGAGTTGAAGACATTAAAGGTGACTTTTTGGTCTTGGAGTCTCATAGTCAACTCTCCTTTTTGGACGTCTACCAAAGTTCTTCCGGTGGCTAGATATGGTCTTCCTAAAATAATAGGAATGTCCTTATCCACCTCAAAATCTAGAATGATAAAGTCTGCCGAAAATATGAACTTGTCAACTTGTACCAACACATCTTCAATGGGGTATGCTATGGACTTGTTGGCCAATTTGAGTGTGACTGTGGTCGGTCTAGCCTCTCCTATGCCTAAGGTGTTGAAAACAGACAAGGGCATAAGGTTGATACTAGCTCCTAAGTCACATAGGGCTTTTCCTATCTCCTTCCCTCCTATAGAACAAGGAATGGTAAAACTTCCTAGATCTTTTAGCTTAGGGGGTATGCTATTGGTCAAAAGCGCACTACATCCTTCGATAAGGGCTATAGTCTCATATTCAGTCAACTTTTTCTTCTTGCTTAGGATGTTCTTCAGAAACTTGGCATAACTAGGCATTTGCTCAATTGCCTCAACAAGCGGGATGTTGATGTGCAATTCTTTAAACACATCCAAGAATTTCTTAAAGTGTAGTTCCTCTTTTTGATTCCTCAACCTTTGGGGGTAAGGAACATAAGGAGGGACTGGTTTTATTACATTCTTACTTGGATGAGTTGAGCAAGACGGGTCTTGAATGCCTTGGGTTTTTGTGGTGCCCTTTGGAGGTTCAGATGAAATGTTAGCATCAAGCTTAGGGGTCTCTAAAACCTCCGTCTCTTTTGAATTCTTTAAGGCATCCTCAGGAAATAGTAATGGAAAGTATAATCTAGGGGGGGCAAAAGTGGTGGTCTCGGATGCCTTCTTCTCTAAGGGTTGGACCGGTCTTTCTTTGGCAGGAACCAATGCTGTAGCATCAGCTTCTGTCAAAATTGGTGCACTATCTTTGGGCACTTTTTCTTTCAACTCCTTCCCACTCCTAAGGGTTACTACTTTCACATGTTCCTTACCTAGGTCTCTAGGGACCTCTGTATTACTGGGCAAGGTACCAAGGGCTCGATTGTTTTGGTTAAGCGCAAGTTGACTGACTTGAGTCTCTAAATTCCTAATGGCCGCACTTTGTTGATTTATCAAAGCTTGATTTTTTGCTTGTGCATGTGTAAAGAGTCCTTTAATCATTGCTTCCAAAGAAGATGATTCTGAGTGTGGAAGAGGTTTATTCTGAAAAGGTGGTTGGGAATTCTGAAAACTTTGTTGGTGAGTCTGAGAGTTAGAACTGTTTCCATGATGTTGTGGTTGAAAATTAGAAGTTCCTTGTTGTTTATGGACTGGTGGGTTTAAACTGGGACTGTTCCAAGAAAAGTTCAGATGTTGCCTCCAACTGGCATTATATGTGTTGGAATAAGGATTAGCTCGGTTATGAACATAGTTTACTGATTCAGAATTATGAGGACAGTGTTCATACGAGTGTTCTCCACCACAACATACACATTGCACAGATAGGACTGTTGGGACGGGTGTATTAGCAGCTTGTTGTCCTCCATGACCAAAAGTTAAAATTTTCAACATGTTGGTCATGGAGGTAAGTTGGGCTGTTAATGCAGTATATGCATCTACATCATGTATCCCGGCAGTCTTTTTCTGTGATTGAGCACGTGGGTCAGCCCAATGCTCATTGTTTGCCGAAATCTTTTCCAGGATTTCATATCCTTCATTATAGGTCATAGCTGTAAAGGCTCCGCCCGCAGTCGCATCGAGCATTTGTTTTGCCATGGGATTTAACCCATTGTAAAACGTCTCGAGTTGAATACAGTACGGAATGTTATGGTGTGGGCATTTCCTCAACAGCTCTTTGAACCTTTCCCACGCGTCACGAACAGCCTCATCGTCCATTTGTTTGAAAAGACAGATCTCATTTCTGGACTTAGCGTTCCTTGTTGGTGGGAAATATTTTCGCAAAAACATTTCTGCCATGTTACTCCATGACGGCACAGAACCTGGAGTTAACGAGTTAAACCATGTTTTTGCCCGCTCCCTCAATGAAAATGGAAATAAACTGAGTCTTAGAGCATCATTTGACACTCGCGGGATCAGGAAGACATCAGTGATTTCCATAAAAGATTTTAAATGCGAATGTGGGTCCTCCGAAGGTAATCCGGCAAATTGGCCATTTGTTTGCAACATGTGAAACATTATCGGTTTTAGTTCGAAATGGAGAGCGGTCATATGTGGTCTAACTATCCCGGAATTTAATTGCTCAAAATCCGGAATATCATAATCCATGATCCTCCCATTTTTGGAATTTGCCAAATTAATGATGTTCGGAGTTTGTGCTCTTTGTTGCTCATTAGGTTCCGATTCTGTGTCCAAATTATTATCATTACCATTATGTGGGCGTCCTTGTTGAAAGTTCGGGAATGGTGGAATTGGTTCAAAACCCGGCGGTTGATTTTCCAAATGCGGTATTTTCGGAATAATTGGGGGTGGTAACATCATATTCGGAGGGAGTAGAACAAAAAATGCTCTTTGAGCCCTCCTCCTATGGTGAAACGTTCTCCCAATATCGGGATCAAATTCGAAAAATTCCTCATGTTGTGACCGTGGCATACACCACCTTTAAAAACAATTCCAAAGGTATTAGAAAAATCAAATCTTTTAATTTACTCAAAATAAAACTTTTAGCTTGCCAATCCCCGGCAGCGGCGCCAAAAACTTGGTCGGTTATATTTCACACCTTTAGATTTAATGAAATTGGGCCATAAAACAAGTATACAATACAACCCAACGTCGTCTTTCCAAGTAATAAAGTGGTACAAGTACCGGATTATCGTCCACGGAGATTGTAGCCAAAGTTAAATGAGAGTCCAATGAAAGAGATGATTTCAGATGATGATTTTGAAGACTTTTGTTTGATTGTAAGGTGAATTGAAACAGAATAAAGATTATATAAAAGAAGCAAGGGTGTAAGACTTAAGGTGAGACCCAAACACAAATTCCAGCAGCCAATGCTATAGGAATGCTACAGCAAGCAGTGTTTCGAAACTAAGTTCCACCATCTATTTTGAAGGCATTCCTCTCGGAATTTACCATTGCACTATCTTATAGCTTTCCACCCATATCTCTATGTGGTGTTCGGACCGGGGATAGTGACACGATGGTGTTTTCAAAATATATGGATAAACAAATCTCTTTGTTAAAAATCACTCTCTCGAGTCGATTCCCATATCATTTGAGTTGGCGTGTTCTTGATAGTTCATCTCTGAATCTATCACAGTTTGACACTTTAGAAGAGTGACCAACCCGTCGGGAGTTAAGTTTTGAAAAACATAAATGACAAGTCTCCTTGTCGACAACTTTCTCAAGTCTACCTCTTATGTCATTCAAGTTGACGTGCTTATCAGTGGCTTATCTCTAAGTCCATCGCACTTTAACACTTTCAAGTGATCAACCCATCAAGAAGTGTGCTTGGTGTTTATAAAAACTCGAATGAAACAATGGAACGTCGTTTACGAAAACACTTAGCCACTTTCGTTCGGTTTGAAAATCTCACCTTTTCGTCTCATAGCCAAGCTATAAAAGCTTAGCTACTCATAACGGAAAGTAAAAAATAAATGACGGAAAATAAAGACATAAACGTAAATTGCGTAAAGTAAATGACGAGAAAATAAATGATGGAAATGTAAATGACGAGAAATAAATGACGGGAATGTAAATTGCGAGAAAATAAATAACAGAATGTAAATGACAATAATCGTAAAGGAACGTAAAATAAAGAACGTAAAATAAAAGACGAGAATATTAAAGAAGAAAAGATGAAAAACTCAAAAGATTAATAAAAATCACCCTTGGAGAGGGTTTACAATACTAGCTAATATTTTTGATGAAGGAAATGGGATACAATGAATGAAAAATGGATTAATGGATGATAACAAAAGGCACCTCAAGCCTTTCTTTTATACAAAAAAGGGGTCACTAAAAGACATAAATAAAAGATTTGGGGACTAAGCTTCCAAAAGCTAATTACATGGCAATAAAAGAGTAACTAAAAAGTACAAAAGTCTAACCAAAGTCTTAGCAACAAATTTTAAATCAAAAAGTCAGCTTCTACAACTGTCTTCTATTAGTCAAAAAGTCAGCGTCTTAACCATTAAACCCTCCAAAAAGCTGCACATGAATCAGATCGACGCTGCACAAATGTTGTAGCATCCTGCTGTTTTCACAAAAATTCTCTATTAGCATCTTCTATGAGTACCAACAAGTCAACCACAATATTTAGCTTCATAATAACAAATGTATAAAAAAATAAATAAAAAATGACTCAATGTGGGAATAAAAAGAAATTATTCTAACTAAAAAGACATAAAACGAGTGCTTTATGTGTTAAATTCTCAACACATAT